TATTTTTTTCTCATATTAAAATGTATTTTGTTGGTGTGTTTACGTTTACGTATTCCCATTGTGGGTGTTTTACGCATGCATCAGATTTTTGGGTTCCTCACATATGGTATCAGAGGTGTGGGTCACTCTCAATCGAACAATAACGGGGATCGTTTCAATTATGACAGCTTGCAGATAGAAACATTGCATGATCGTATACTAATAATGACAGAATTAGTACCCCAGTGGAGGGCATCCCCCACCCGGCGCTTCTTACCGTTACTGTGAGACTTACAAATCCAGACCTCTCCTCCTCCTGAACCGTTCACAATACCCTGTGGTAGTACCATAATCATCTCAATAAAGCGATCACTTTCCAATGCCCATTTTGATCTCGGGAGTTACCCGGGTGGTGTCACACTGTACTCATTGTTTTAGCATGTCGCAAATTCCGATATGGCTTGTGCAATGGCCAGAGAGTGACAGCGGCGGGGGCCGGGCTGCAACCTTTTTAGACAGTTTATAACATTTCAAAGTGCATGGGATTGGCACTCCAAGACATCATAAATGTACAGTAACGCCAATTACACAACCGAAGTAGACAGCAAGCCGTCCATGGAGACGTGATCAACGTCAATACATAATAATGGTAATAAGCCGGATAAACCGAAAAGTACCCATTGTACCCATCAAACAGTCAGCTGGGTTGCCCCATGGGGGTATTGACCCATGGGCGAAACTGTAGTGGGCGCTACGCAACTTGCCGTCGTCCCGGCAGGTGAAGCTGACAGCTCAGTCCGCTAAGACTTACTGTATAGCGACCCCTGCCTACTCGTAAGGTAAAGTTGTTTGGGGACTCCACTAATCGCAGCACGCAGCACCCATTTTTTACATAAATATACGTAATATTAGCGTAACTACCATTCGCACACTTGCATACACACCACACTCGCACAGCGCAGGGTCTGCGCCCACAGTGCACTGCAGCACTGCGGCACAGACCTTGCCAAACCTATGCTATCGCTCTCTTCCGGGCGTGTTATTTATTTTTATCGAATCAAAGTGAGCTGTGGCTTTTTGCCGGCTGTTTTATTTTCATCGAATCAGAGCGAGCTGTTTGGGCGGGTCCGTAAATAAATTAACGTCCAGATACGCACGCAGACGACCAAACCAGCGTAGTTGTTTAAGATTTTGCGTTGCGACCATCACTGTGAATATGGTGTTGCGTGAAAGTAGGTGCAATTGTTGGCCGAAGAGACGCTGTTGTGCGGCAGGTTTATTTATTTATATTTGTCGAATGAAAGTGAGCTGTGGTTTTTTGCCGGCTGTTTTATTATTTTTTATCGACGAATCAGAGCTAGCTGTTTGGGCGGGTCCGTAAATAAATTAACGTCCAGATACGCACGCAGACGACCAAACCAGCGTAGTTGTTTAAGATGGGTGGCCTTCCTGTAAACACAATGTCCCAAGGATCCATCAGGTCTCCTCTCAAACAGAACATCCAAGAATGGTAGTTTGCCATCTTTCTCCACTTCCATGGTGAATTTGATGGATGGGTGTCTGGAATTGATGTGGTCCAGAAAATGGTTCAATGCTGGGAGGCCATGTGGCCAAATGACGAAAGTGTCATCCACATATATCTTCCACAGGGAAGGACGCAGGGTGGACGTCTGGATAGCCTCTGATTCAAACTTTTCCATGAACACATTGGCTATCACTGGTGACAAGGGGGAGCCCATGGGGGTACCCTCATTCTGTTTGTAGAAGGTGCCATTCCAGGTAAAGTAAGTCTTGGTGAGGCAATGCCTAACCAGCGCAGGTACATCCGAGTTCAGTCCATGTTGGACCAAGTCTTCGATTATTGTTAAGGTGTCCAGAACTGGGACTTTGGTAAACAGAGATACCACATCAAAACTGACGAGGATATCGTCAGGAGACAGTACCATGTCCTTGACCATAGAGACCAATTGGGTTGAGTTAAGTACTGCTGTCGAGGTCTTGCCAGTGAAGGGGAGCAGAGTATCTGATAGTAAACGGGCCAGTTTGTAGGTAGGAGAGTTGATTGTACACTATCGGTCGTAGTGGGGAGCCTTCTTTATAGATCTTGGAGGTCTTGCAGCCGAGGGTTTTAAGGAGGGACGTTTGGTTGGTTCGATTAGGGACGTCGAACTCGTGATGATCTTGTTGGTCTTTGTCGTTAGGCTGTTAGTCGGATCCTATTGATGATCTTGTTGGTCTTTGTCGTTAGGCTGTTAGTAGGATCCTACTAACAGCCTAACGACAAAAACCAACAAGATCGAACCAACCAAACGTCTTTTACGAGGATTCATGTCTGCATTTACCACAATACTTGCAGTCAAATGCAAACAAAACACACTATGATAATATATGCATTTTTCGATTTAAAGCTTTCGTGACTGCAGGGATTCATCTTGGTTTTTTTGGTAAAGTCACGTAGAAGGGAAGTAATAAAATAATAAAAATAAAACATAATAAAATAATTCTCACGACGTTTCGGCTACCACGCAAGCAGCCGTCTTCAGGTAAAGAATGAGACACTGCCAAGCTAGGAGCTTATTTATAAGCTGAGTTGGGGGTGTAAGAAGAGCGCCTTAACAAAAGAATGTGCATATCAAGAGGAATTTTGCATATTCATGGGAAATGCGTAGGAGGTGGGCGGGGGGGTTTCAAAGTCATATTATGCCCATGCATTATGCAGGATCAGCAGCACCAAAGGGAGGGGGCAGGGGGTAGCATTAACAAAGGGAGGGAATGTTAATAGTATGTAGAAGCAATGAAACATGTGAATGGGAGAGCGGTGGCAGGATACCCGCAGCGGAGCAAATAATGCATTCCCTGTGGAGAACACAAGATACACAGTTAATGCCAGTGAGTGGACTGCGGTCTGAAAGTCACCGTAAACATGAACAACAATCAGTTAAGATCCGAAATGGTGTATTACGTCCTTCCAATGATTGCTGAGCCAGAATCCATCTTCTCGGTTGAAATTGTCTCTGTGTTTGTATATGTGGATCGCCTCATGAACGAATCTCTCATGGTAGCCAGATGGCTTGCAGAGAACCTCTGTCTTGGAGAAGTCAATGTCCTGTGAGCCCACTGAATTGTAACAGTGATCTGCCACGGCTGAGGTGTTTGTCCTACCGTGTTTCAGGTCTGCTTTATGTTCATGGATGCGGTCCGAGACATGTCGTTTGGTTTCTCCAATGTAACTGCTACCACAGAGGCAACTTAGTTTGTAGACGCCAGGGTACTGTATGTCTGGAACCACGTCTTTTACAGACGGGACCAGATCACGGATTTTTGTACTGTGTTGAATCGGACCTGAATCTTGTGTTTAATCAGGATTTTGGATATCTTTTTTGTGACCCCAGCAATGTAGGGTAAGGTGATGGTTTTGAAAGGCTCCTCAACAGGATCCTTCTTGATGGTTGGAGTGATGGCTTTATGGATTGTGTAGTCGGAGTAACCATTAGTCTTAAGAGCTTGGCATACGTGTTTGAGTTCACTGGCAATGTGTTCCTGGTCGGAGATGCATTGGGCTCTATGGTATAGAGTCTTGATGAGGGAATTCTTCTGGGATGGATGGTGGTGGGAATCCGGTTTTAGGTATTACTTCCCTTCTACGTGACTTTACCGAAAAAACCAAGAATATATATGCATTGTCATTGAAACTGATTGGTCCACACCAAGGGACGGCTTTTTTTGAGCCTCGACCCAATTGGTGCTCCACCAGAGGACGCCAATTGGTGCTCGACCAGAGGACGCCAAAAGGCGTACAGCTCACACATTATCATAGTGTGTTTTTGCGGTTGGGGGTTGTGAGGGGTCCTACGATCCCTCGCAAACACTCCCAATGGCCGGGGGGGCTACGGACGTACTGGCCTGCAACGGCAGACATGCAGACCTCGGTGAGGGACTCTGGGGTCACCCGCGTCCCTCACGGAGGTCCGCACCTCGGCTGAGAAACGTATATAAGGCAGACCTCTGGAGAGGTCCTGGCAGTTTAAGACGACCAGTTGGAGCAAGAAGACCTGCTAGAATAGGACCCTGGACCCCTAGCTTCGCCGTCTTTTTAAGGGCTGAAGCTCTGTGAGGCCAGTGGTGGACCCTGGGTCTCCCATAGGATATTATAGCCAGAGGACCTGGAGCACAGCCGGGGCAGGCATGTTACGTAGGAGGCGTATAATATACCGAGTGGAAGTACTCGAGATAAACTGTATGAGGAGTTATGTTTAGTAGTTAGGGCGCGTGTATATAATAAAGACGTGCCCCCAACAAAGTGTCTCCGGAGAAAACACGACACAGAAATGAATCCTCGTAAGGTTTCAGTTTTGTTGCCAGAAAAAAGGGGAAAACTCCTATTATTAACTCCTATCATTTTTCATTGCTGGAGGGTTTGCCCCCCTCCCTACCTTAAAATACTGACTCCGCCCCTGAGTGTGTGACAGTGTCAAGTTTGTATTTGCAGTAAAGTCTTTTAATTCTATTGAGCACGGAGGTTATATCAAAACGGTAGTTTATTTTTGTTTTCCTCTGGAAGTCTTTGTAAGATTGGAGTCAGGAAGTTATCACAGCACACGTGCAGCTGAAGTCGGAACTTCATACCAGCATTCAAGGACATCTGTGCCTTGCTTCACACCTCTAAGTTGCAATTGAACATTAATTTATGCATTTGTGCATAACACAAATAGTATTTTTTTCAACACCCTTTGCTATGTCAGCTGAATTTAGCTTTCATAAATAGTCATTTTGAAGCCAGACAGCCGAAATCGTGTGCTCGGAGTTTTGGGTTAACATTCATTTTGAAGATACTAGGGCTTCCAGGCATGTTTATAACCATTTGCCCTCTCATTGTGTGCAATAACAGCCCGTGTGATGAATTTGGGACACTTTTTCACTATCATGAATATATGTATAAGTATAGACGTGTAAGTCACGTGTGACTATATATGCATTGATACTGATGTGTAGATGGTGTGGATATATTTTTCTGTCTGCAGCTGTCGCTTCCTCTGCAGAATTGGTCTGATGGAGCAAAGGCACTCGGCGCGACTCGGTGCAAAAAGGCAACAATGCGACCTGCGTGCCAACAGCACAGATCGTACTGAACATTTGACACAGCACCAGAGAACTCAAACAGCAGAGAAACCCGTCAAGTGCAGTGTGTGTGGGAAAACGTTTGCACAGTCATCTACTCTTGTAAAACACCAGAGAACACACACAGGAGAGAAACCCTTCAAGTGCAGTGTGTGTGGGAAGGCATTTTCACAGTCAGCTACTCTTGTAGCACACCAGAGAATACACACAGGAGAAAAACCCTTCAAGTGCAGTGTGTGTGGGACGGCGTTTGCACAGTTATCTGCTCTTGTAAATCACCAGAGAACACACACGGGAGAGAAACCCTTCAAGTGCGGCGTGTGTGGGAAGGCGTTTGCACTTTCATCTACTCTTGTAGAACACCAGAGAACACACACGGGAGAGAAACCCTTCAAGTGCAGTGTGTGTGGGAAGGCGTTTGCACAGTCATCTACTCTTTTAAAACACCAGAGAACCCACACGGGAGATAAACCCTTCAAGTGCAGTGTGTGTGGGAAGGCGTTTGCAAAGTCATCTACTCTTGTTAAACACCAGAGAACCCACACGGGAGATAAACCCTTCAAGTGCAGTGTGTGTGGGAAGGCGTTTGCAAAGTCATCTACTCTTGTTATACACCAGAGAACACACACGGGAGAGAAACCCTTCAAGTGCAGAGTGTGTGAGAAGGCGTTTGCACGGTCATCTACTCGTGAAGCACACCAGACAACACACACGGGAGAGAAACCCTTCAAGTGCAGTGTGTGTGGGAATGCGTTTGCACGGTCATCTGTTCTTGTAATACACCAGAGAACCCACACGGGAGATAAACCCTTCAAGTGCGGTGTGTGTGGGAAGGCGTTTGCACATTCATCTACTCTTGCAGAACACCAGAGAACACACACAGGAGAGAAACCCTTCAAGTGCAGTGTGTGTGGGAAGGCGTTTGCACAGTCATCTGCTCTTGTAAAACACCAGAGAACACACACCGGAGAGAAACCCTTCAAGTGTGGTGTGTGTGAGAAGGCGTTTACACGGTCATCTACTCTTGTAGAACACCAGAGAACACACACGGGAGAGAAACCCTTCAAGTGCAGTGTGTGTGGGAAGGTGTTTACACTTTCACCAAATTTTCAAAGACACCAGAGAACACACAAGCATCACAATATCCACAAGGAGTGGAGTCTGAAATCAGCTTGTGAAAGTCAAAGTGATGCAATGAGTGTATCCCTCATGAAACAAGAACCGGAAGAAAATCCCAGCTTGGATACTTTGAAAGATATCGAGGTGAAACGTGAAGATGTGAAGGTGAAATGTGAAGAAGTGATGGTGAAGAGCGAAGAAGTGAAGGTAAAATGTGAAGATGAAGATTCAACTCCAAAATCGGACCTTCACATCGATGGAGGCAACGTGAAGCAGGAGGATAATTCTCACTGTGAGACAGAGCGAGGCAACTCCCAGCAGTTTGTGGAAGTGGAGGTGTGGGTTGACTTCCTCCGTGACAATAGAAAGTCAAATGGAGACCCGGGAGATGTGTAAGCTTGAGACGATGTCGCTCCAATAGACGCACCTTTGTCACAGGCCTTTAATGACAAGAATGTGAAGTTGAACACTCGGTTCTTAGTTTCAACCTGCAGGGTAAGAGCGGCCAGTCTTTGTGGACCTGTGTGTTGGGTAGATTTCTAACCAGGAGCGAGAGCCAATAAGCTCCCAAGCATTCACTGTTATAAATTGCATTCATATGGTGCTTACTTAATCGCCTCGGCAACTCGGAGTTTTGTATCGTATCTCGTTTCAAACACTCGAAGAGCACCCCCAAGTAGCAGCTGCCCCTGTGTGGTGTTGTGTATGTACCCCCTTTTTATTTTTTTTAATATTATTTTTTTTTTAAGAATTATTCTGCCAACATAGATGATATCGTTTTTTTTAATAGACGCGGCCACGTGGGAACGAACACGCCCCCACACTTCCACAGAGGCCCCCACACTACCACAGATGCGCGCACACCTCATTTCAAAGGAAAGAGGACATGAAAGGGGGGGCAATAAGGTAATAAAAACTCCCCTAAATTCACACAAGAGGAACAAGGGAGGGGGGAATGGCAGGCGGGGGGTTGCAGGGCCGGGCATCACGGAGGAAGAGATAATTATATTCTGAACAAAGATAAGCCGGGATATCAGATTAAATAATCACAAGAAGTCAAATAATAAGTACGGAATTAAAGTAGAAGAGGAATCAAGGGCGGAGAAGGCTCTCAAAATTAACCAAACACAACAACCCATGGGAAGCGAGCAACACGGCCGCCTTTGTCTTTCCGAGAGGATCTCCACACGCAGGCACAAAGCTAGGAAATGACACCCATAAAAGGGGCAATGGCTCAAAGGAAATTAACACGTCTTCGAATAAATAAGCGCATGCGCCGGGTGCTCCCACCGTGAAAACAACCGCCTTTGTCTCCCCACAACACGGACAGCAAAAATTGCACACGCGAGGAAATAACATTTCCGTGAGAGATCGGGTCACGATGAAACATCGTGAACACGGTTTCGGCATAACCAAGCAGCAAATAAGTCGCATTTCAACTTCCAAACCAAACCAACTTAAGCTGTGTGAGACAAAGGATGTGATCCCAGAGCAAGGAAGGGAATAATTAAGCTCGCTTAACGCGTAGGTTTTCGCGACAAATATTATTCAGTAACAAAACATGGATTCGAATGTTTTTTTTTATAACTCGACGCGAATCATCGGTCTGGCTAATGGATAACTTCGGTGGCACCGTCACGAGGCCCCCACCCCCACCCCTTTCTTCCAGAACGACACACATATGTGTCTTCAAAGCTAATAAACACACGGACAAACACGCACGCGAAACACACGGACGGACACACACACGGACGCAGATGGTTCAGCCCACAGGAAGGTTTTATGACACAGCCTTTGAACAACTCGGGAAGCCGAGTGGAATTTCCAGATATAAACCGAAGAAAAATCCATACAAAGCAGATCGTCAGGGGCTCTGGCCCCCATCACAGATCTCCAGGGCTTCGGCTCCATCTCTTCTCGTCGCCGCCAACGAAGAAGCTTTTCGTCATCCAGAAGGACGAGGATCGCGCGGTGCCGAGGCATCGCCTATCGCACACGAGTGTACGAGCCCAGCTCTCTTGCCGTGTCACCACGCCGAGGTGCATCGCCTGCCGCACACGAGTGTACGAGCCCAGCTCCCCTGCCGTGTCGCCACGCCGAGGTGCATCGCCTGACCACGCAAACGAGCGTGGCCGCGCCGTCAGTCATCGTACGGGGTCAGCCGAGGGAGGAGTCGGAAAGCGAGCCGCTCACCCTCTCGCCGCAGCTGCGCAAGCCAGAGGGTCCTTCTCCGAAAGTCGTTCGTACCCACAACTTCCCCCACCAATAGACCCACACACGCACGCATCGACGCCCCACTCACCTGTGAGACTATCCCATCTAGTTCACCCTTGCCATCGTATCAACCCTAGTCAATTATCAGAAGACTGATTATCAACTACATGAACCATCAGCTGGCCATGCAGAATCGCGGCCCATCGAGTGATTAAGAGTCCGTCGGTGATAAGAGTGAGGTTGTTACCGTGTCTTTCCCTTGTTCCGCTCATCACATAGGCGATCAATAGACTCGTCGAGGCAAACTCAACCTCTCGGAATCCTCATTACGAATCGACCGAACACAGAGAGAGAATATCTTGTCAAACCAGTTTCCTTTGTCCCAGAGTCTCGCCGAAGAATTAATTAAAACAGAGCCAGATTCGCTCTCGCGCCCACACGCCCTCACCCACCATTGTATCAAACATTCCGTTAAGAGGATTTTTATACTTGCCGATGAATCTATTGACATATACTTTCGCCTCTTGGGTATAATAAGTGCTATATTACCGCCATAGGAAGTGTGTCATGCTTGTTTTCAAACTCGACCAGTCGCCGATTGTGATCGATACATGGGCGAACTAATGAGATGCCTGGTAGGAAAAGTAGAGGTTACAATTGATAGAAGTGTTTTTAGTCATTCAGTTCGTTAAATGCATAAGTGTTTATTCATTCATTTTAGTCAAATGCATAAGAGTTTCGTTATTCATATTGCATAATTGCATAATTTCACAAATGCATAAGTGTTTATTCATTCATTTTAGTCAAATGCATAAGAGTTTCGTTATTCATATTGCATAATTGCATAATTTCACAACTGCATAAGTTTTTGTCGTTCATATTAGTTAACTGCATAATCTTGCCCATGAATTATTGACGCATGTTTGACCTGCATGATAGAATGTCACGTGTTTGTTAGAATAAAATTGTTATCACAGAAGCATATTGAGTGTTCTTTCCAAGTCCATGCAAAACCATCTTATTCATAAGAGCTGTATCCTGCGATGAGATATGAAAATGGAGACCTAAAATATTATAACACACACTAGGATAATCGGTAAATGAATCTATGATAATCGTGTTATCCTGATTGATAACTCTGGATAAACGAAACTAAGCAAATTATCATAACTGCACACATTAACATAATCACAAGCCTCCGCATAAATTACTACGATTATCTACGTGATTATCATAATTTATGCATATAATCACATGCATTATCATAATTTCTGCATATTAATACACACACTATCATAATTAATGCGAATTGCGCATTTTTCGGAAAATTATTAATTTTTATTATTTTCATCAAAATTTCATAATTCCAACACATACAACAGTGGCACAAGGTGGTGGCCCTGCACTGGCCTGCATGTAGACAAGAGCCTGTCAGTAGAGGGCGATGGTTGATGTGGCACCTTGGTTGTGGAGTTTGTAGGTAATGTTTGGAATTTGCTAAATTTTGACCCAGACACCAGCATTCGTTTTGAATGGCGCAATAGTATTAGTTAAAATGATTGTCAATAATTTAGAATGATTACTTGTCTGATGGTGTGCGCACATGTAACATTTTGTCTATAAGGGTCAAACATTGAATAAGTGATGTTAGGACAAAGTTTGTGTTTTGCAAGTAACCTGTACAGATCACTCGGGTGAGACTCATTGTTCTTGTGATACAGGTCAAAGGGTACTTTTGTGTTTTCAGGAAGCGTCTGCCTCTGGAGCAACTCATTGTCTTTTAAATAGTGAGCACGCTCGGATCATTAATCAGTTACAAGGCATACCAATTAAAAGTTACACGAAAAGGAGGAACATTCTCTACAACACGAATTATAATTTTGTATTATGTGTTGAATTAGGACGAGAAATGGTCCTTGCTGATTGTAAAGTGACGAAAAAAATTTCACACGAGCGACGCATCCACGCAAGCTCCCGATGCTCCGTTTTGAAGTTTGAAAATGAAACAACTTTGAATTGTATTATGTTTTGAATTACATAAATGTACTTCTTCATTAAAAGCTTATTCATTGAAAACGATATTTCGTGTGAATTTTCTCTCGTCGTGAAGTAGATGGCCTTGCTGGGGGTTCAGTTTGATGCGGACTTTCACCTGTTTGGGATCGCGGGATCGAGATGAGGCGACACAGAGCTGGCCGTGCGATAAGACCGCCGTCTGCAGATCGATTCCAACGCGATCGAACGTCTGTCCCTGCCCCTCCGTCGTTCATGCAGGGGGCACGTAGGTTTGCAGCGCCCCCTGCATGAAAGCGACGGAACGTGCAGCGTTCGTCACGAAGTTGTGCGCAAGCGCCATAACAAGGCGCTGTAAGCTGACCTGCCACCACGTGCACTGGTCAAAAGGGAGCAGGCGAGAGAGAGCGAGGTGTGTAGGGGTCGACCAAAGGTTAAACCCCCGGCCCCCCACCGTGACCGGAGACTAACACCCCTGACCCCCCACTCATCCCTAAGGCCCATTAAGATCCTTCAGAAGGTTCTGGGACGGGGGGGGGGTCAGGAGGGGAGGGGTGATCTCGACCTGGGGATAAAAGGCCGGCCCTCTGGACGGACCGGGCAGTGTTCACCAACTCAAGCCTGAGGACATCCGAAGACCTGAAGACTGGAACAGTACCCGGGGACCCTCAACCGAGGCTCTTGTTAGAGCCGGGTTGTAGCGGACCCGAGGTGAGCTCAGACACTCTGGGACCTTCCCCCAGCTCTAGCCAGAGCCGGGTTGTAGCGGACCAGAGGTGAGCTCTAGTACCCTGGCTGGGACGGGTCGTCCAGTCTTCCCTTAACGCCGGGCTAAGGGACCCGTGGGTGGCAGAGCCCGGAGTGTGCAGGCTGCGATAGAAACGAGGCTGTCACTCCCGTAGGCTATCGGTTGGAAGGGGTCGTACCCCTTCGTGTTTCAGTCGTGTGTAGAGCCGAGTTCGAAAGAGTTATAATAAACGTGTTGCCTCAACCAGACGTCCCCGTGTGGTTAGTTAAGGACACAACACTTATATAAAAGAGTATAGCCAGTGGGTTTTCAAAGTACCTTCGTTTTACAGAAATCAATTTCGCGTGAGCCCACCGCATTGAAACAATGCTCAGCTGAGCGAGGCGAGCCCGGGAGGGGGGGGGGGGGCTCACCTCATCTTTGTCACGTGCCGTAGCTCACGTGACATCTGCCGCGACAATGTCTGGATGTTTTCGCCTGAGAACGATCGCTCGTGTTGCGATCGAAACGTCGTGATTTATTTATTATTATTTTATTTGTTCTACCTACGTGACTTTACTGAAAGAACCAAAGAGGATGAAAGACGTCTTGTCTGCTGATCTTGTTCATATCCGTGTACATCGATATCCCACATTGCTTACACGTTCACACCACACACAATGAAATAAATAGAAACTAGAACGACTTCTGGGGATGCGCAAATATCGAGGAAACTTTCAATGGAGCGAGTTCAGTTAGTTCGATTCAACATCCTTCTGCCCGTCTGTGTCTCTGTTCGCCTCTGTGTGTTTCTCTCTGCATGTGTCTATGTCGTCTCTGTGTTCCTCTTGTCTGTGTCTGTCCACTTGTCTTGTCTGTGTGTGTTTGTCTATCAGCGTCTGTCCAACCGGAGTCAACGACTGTCAGTAGCAGCAGGCTCCCGTTCAACTCCCACTGCTACACGCCACTCAAACTTGCTCCCAACACACAAAGACAAACATCTCCCGTGTAGACTGGACAGAATGTCAGGGCAAGTGCTGTTAGCGAGCACCTAACACAAACACAAAGATCCCCCGTATAGCCTGCACAGAATGTTGGGGCAAGTGCTGTTAGTGAGCATCTAAGACAAAGACCCCCCATATAGCCTGGACAGACTGTAGGGGCAAGTGCTGTTAGCGAGCACCTAACACAAACAGAAAGATCCCCCATATAGCCTTAACAGTTTCATTTCATTTTCATGTGTTTGGTATAGCCCTGTGAGCCATTCGGCTCTTGAATCGGGTGCAACCGCAACAAATAAAAAACATGAACTAGAAAACATCTCAAAGTGACTGCGCAAACAGAAAAATCCATGGAAAAACTGCAAAGTCTTCCAGAAAAAAGCACCGTACACCAACGCTGTGCAAAAATCCCAGTGGGATGCCAGTCAAACAACAACAACAACAACCACAAGACAACTTAGATTAAAGCCATCATTCTAACTCCGTACTACAACAAACATGGCTAAACCAAAAATATTTTTGAAATCACCAAAATAAAGCCATAAGCAATGTAACAGTGATCATAGGAACTGTGACCGAAATTTCACAATAAACGACAAAAAACATGTTCCACCAAATTTCTATTTAAAGCTTTCGTGACTGCAGGGATTCATCTTCTTGGTTTTTTCGGTAAAGTCACGTAGAATGGAAATAATAAAAGAATAAAAATAAAAATAATAAAATAATTCTCACGACGTTTCGGCCACAACGCAAGCAGCCGTCCTCAGGCGAAGAACAGGTCTGTCAGAAAGACAGCGTCTGAATGAACACCACCAGGCTTGGCAGCGTATATTTAAGCTGGGTTGGAGGGGGAAGAGCGCCTTGACAAAGGAATTCGCATATCAAGAGGGATTTAGCATATTCATGGTAAATGCAGGTATGTGATTAGTACTACTTATGCCCGTGCATTATGCAGGATTAGCAACATCAAACGAAGGGGATATGGGAAATGCAGGTATGTGATTAGTACTACTTATGCCCGTGCATTATGCAGGACCAGCAGCATCAAAGGGAGGGGATGGGGGTAGCATTAACAAAGGGAAGGAATGTTAATGGTATGTAGCTGCAGTTAATAAACAACCACGTAAAAAACTAAAGTATAAACTACATAGTATCATCAGTATACTAAATATACTCTCCAATAAGCTGAGCTACTAAAAGTAAGTAATACATTACAATTCTACGTCGCAAAAAATATAATATGCTTCCAGCTAAACTTTTTTCTCTTACATCACACGGGTCTACCCCGTACTATATACTACCATAGACAAACTCAACATTAAATTATATACTGTATTACTATACACCACTCTATACCTTCGACTATAATATTACCCTAAGTATTATTCTAGCCACCCTACTGTATACCACACTGCTGTATATTCACTATACATTTACGATACTGTGTATTACCTTATACATTGTATTAAACATTACAATTTTATACTATTTATACAATCTGCTATACCATTGACCATCGCGTGAAAGATACTAAGAGGAAGCAACGAAATATGTCAATGGGAGAGTGGTGAAAGGAGACTTGCAGGGGAGCAAAGAATCCATTCGCTGTGGAGAATACAAGATATTTCGTCAATGCCAGTGAGTGTACTGCGGTCTTTTTTACGTGGTTGTTTAGTAACTGCAGCTACATACTATTAACATTCCATCCCTTTGTTAATGCTACCCCCATCCCCTCCCTTTGATGCTACTGGTCCTGCATAATGCACGGACATAATATGACTTTGAAACCCCCCGCCCACCTCCTACGCATTTACCATAAATATGTTAAAATCCTCTTGATATGCAAATTATTTTGTCAAGGCGCTCTTCTTCCCACCTCCCCCCCTCCAACCCAGCTTAAATATACGCTCCAAGCTTGGTGGTGTTTCGTTCTTCACCTGAGGACGGCTGCTTGCGTTGTGGCTGAATTTTAATCATGTTTTATTTGTATTATTTTATTACTTCCCTTCTACGTGACTTTACCGAAAGAACCAAGAAGATAAATCCCTGCAGTCACGAAAGCTTTGAATCGAAATTTAATACGATTCTTGCCCTGTACCCCCCACAGTTCACATATCCGACCCCCGGTTCGATTTAACAGATAATTTACATACATATGTATAGAGTGCGATTTAATACTTCTAATGAGATTAAAATATCGTACCTCCGTTTATGGTGGTATAAATTATTAAGCCAGTTGATAGTTTATAGACGTTTAATGTTCAGTGTTATTGTTTATAGTGTTATCAGTTTACGTGTTTTTAAGTACAGGTGATCCCCGGTATACTTCGGTATTCTGGACCTGAACGTTGCAAAACAATTCCTAACGAAGACATTTCCCTACCAGAGCGCAAGCCGCTAATGAAAAGAACTCGGGGCAGCGGGAGCACGTGCTTCCATGGGCAGTGGGGGACAGGGCATGGTGTATTGCCTACAAGTGCCACCGGTAAAATTCCCCAAGTTGCTCCGCCCATGGCGGGGTCAGGTAGAGGTCATAGAGGTGGGTGATGTAAAGACAGTGCATCAACTCAGGGACAAGTGGTGACAACAAGATAGAGAGAGTTCGAGAAGGGAAGGCGAGACCAAGTGTGGGCGGAGGTTCACGCCGAGAATGAGAGAGGGGGAGGAACGAGGTTTGGGGCTGTGTTGGCTGGTTGCTGTTTCGTCGTCATCGTTGCTATATCGTGACGCCTGGGGTCTGAAACCGCGTTAAAGGCTAAATAAAAGAACCCTCTGCAGTCTGAGTCTGGAGTCATTACAATTGTAACGATTCATTATCTCACGGGCTAATATTGGGTTTGTGCGATTATTTTACATATTCATACTGAATATTGCTATTTGATGTCATTGAGATGGAACATTCATCTAGCAGTCACAATCCTGATTCTAATATGACCATGCGATTGTAATAGTTGTACTGGAATTCTAATCATGCTTATCCAAAGTCACATTAGCGACTCCCGATGCGCATTTACAAATATCATACATTCGAGCACAGTGTTATTCTAATAATTTCCATGCGATTTTACCCCTGCACTACAGACCCCCCCCCCCCCCACGAGTTCGCATATCCGACCTCCGGTTCGCTTGCACGTACATTACACATGCATATGAGCAGAGTTAGATTGTAATACGACCACAGTGAGATTCAAATACTTCTCATGATATTTAATACCGTACCTCCGTTTGTGGTGTATACATTATAAAACCAGTTTATAGTCATGAGTGTTATCGTGTTACATATGTAAGTGCATCTCAGTGTGTAATTGCGCGCTTATTTTGAATAAATGGGATTATCGCTGAAAAAACACGTTTCCCATGCCCTCCATTGTCCTCGATTTAAAGTGAATGCAGCCCCGTGGCGTTGACCAAAAACTACCCAGCTTCTGGAGTGAACGCATACAGACGCGTAGTGACCACACTTGCAATACAGACAAACAGCGAGAAATGATTTGGCCAGCCACCACCTCGTTTGCCGCAGCGACTTTAATAGCTGCTCTCAAACAACACTATCACCAATGGTGGTTTACAGGCTAGGCTGTTAAGCGGACAATCAGTCGTTTTGGGCAAGGCGTATGGGAAAATACACACCTCTGTTATCCCATAAACACAATACACAGCATCGGTAAGGCTGCCTTGTTGGGGATATGTAGTTTGGGTAAGGCGCTGTCACTGGAGTTAGGCGATGTGACTGGGTTATCACACGGATTCCGAAAAGCAGCTTAGACGATACGATCCACTGCGCTCCATCTCCCCACATGAACGACGACATTCTGAGTTTAAAAAAAGTGGAATATATATTTGTAAATACGTTTTTTAAATATGTGTATTGTATCTATGTTACAATGTGTGATTGTTATACTCTTTATTTGTGTATACTCTATATACTCATATGGCTATTCGATTCCATTGATACGACACATTCATCCAACAGTGGAAAGTGTGATTCTAATACGACGAGTGGGATTCGAATAATTGTAATTCGATTCTAATCCTGCATATCCTACTCCCGGTTGGCATATTAACTTACCATACGTACAACCACAGTGTGATTCTAATTAGCTCAGTGCGATTCTAATGATTAGTATGCGATTATAATCCCACACCTCCAATTATGTGGTTATGCACTATAACAGTTAATCGTATTTTCAAGCGTAACAATGGATAGGTTGTAGTTCATAGGTTATAATATTATATTTCACTATGTTAGAGTTTAACATGTGAGAGTTTACAATGTCAGAGTTGATCAAGGGCGTCAATCTTGATCGACGCAGAAACAAATACAGCAGCAGCAGCAACATCACATTTCGAGGGCGACGCAGCTACTTCTGATTCTGCTGCTTCCGCTGCTCAGATATTTGTTGCCAGGCCCTGCTCTCGCGG